CCCAGAGGCAAACCTAAGTAAGAAATGGGAAAAGCACCATTGCGACATCCAAGGATGTCAGCAAAAGTCTCAATCTCAGGAACCTCCCCAACCGACACCAAAACACTCTTGCCCACATTCACCTTAAGGCCGGAGACAACTTGGAAACAAATCAAGACACATCTCAGATATCTAATCTGGGACACATTCGCATCACAAAGAACCAAGTGTCATCAGCAAACATCAAATGAGAGATCTCCAACTGAGAAGCAGCATCCCTGCCCACCCGAAAGCCTCTCACAAGACCCAAATCAGCAGCCCTTCGCATCAATCTACTAAGGGCCTCCATCACAAACAAGAACAAGAAGGGGGAGAGAGGATCCCCCTGTCTTAAGCCCCTTGAGCTAGAGAAAAAACCAGTAGGAGCACCATTAACAAGGATCAAAAAGCGAGCACTGGAAATGCAAAACTGAATCCATCTCCTCCACCTATCACCGAACCCCATCCTCTCCATCAAGTACAGAAGAAAGCTCAAACTCACATGGTCATATGCTTTCTCAATGTCCAACTTACAAAGAACACCCGGGACCCCACTACGAAATCTGGAGTCCACACACTCACTTGCAATAAGGACTGAATCCAAAATCTGATGGCCTCCTAACAAAGCATTTTGAGAGTCCGAAATGATACCATCCAAAACTTTCCTCAATCTAGAAGCGAGCACTTTGGCAATCAACTTGTAGATACAACCCACCAAACTAATAGGGCGAAAATCCCTCACCTCTTTCCTTTTCGGAATGAGAGCAATGAACGTGGCATTCAAGCTTTTCTCAAAAAATCCCCGAGAATGGAAAGCATGGAAAGTGCCCATCACCTCTCCTTTAACCACCTCCAAGCATTCAAGAAGAAACCTCATGGTGAAACCATCTGGACCTCGGGCCTTATCCCCATTGCAGCTCTTCAAAGCAATCAGAACTTCCTCCTCAGAAAAAGGCAACTCCAAACCCAAGCATTCCTCCTCAGAAATAGAGGCAAACTGCAACCCTTTAAGTAAAGGTCTCCACTCAACAGTCTCTAAGAACAACTTCTCAAAGAACTCTGAAAATCCTTTGCAGATTTCCTCCTCCTTACAAAGAGTAACCCCCTCAACCCGAATCCTCCCTATATGATTTCCTCTTCTATGAGCATTGGCCAATCTGTGGAAAAATTTCATGTTTCTATCCCCCTCCTTGAGCCATAAGGCTTGAGATTTTTGCCTCCACGAGATCTCCTCCATGATAGCAATCTCTAAAACTCTGCCTTGCACTCCGCCCTCCTAACCTTCAAAGCTTCCACCAAATCCCCTTGACCCTCCATACGGTCAATAGCCGCAATCTCCGTAAGAACCCGATTTTTTCTCCATTCCAGATTCCCAAAGACCTCTTTATTCCAAGCCTTAAGATTCTCCTTTAAAAGACGCAATTTGCCTGCAAGCAGATGACTAGGGGTGCCCACCACACCATACCCCTCCCACCAAAGACGAACCCGCTCAAGAAAGCCCTCAGCCCGCAACCACATATTCTCAAATCTGAAAGGAGATCGTCTACTGCACAACCCGTCACAATCCAACAACAATGGAACATGGTCAGAGATAGGACGAGGCAACGATGCTTGAACAACTTCCGAGAACCTCTCCTCCCACTCCCCCGACACAAGGACTCTGTCAATCCGGGAAAGGGTAAGAGAGGAACGGCCACTGGACCAAGTAAATGGCCCTCCAACCAAAGGCAAATCAACCAACCCAAATTCAACAATAAACTCTGAGAAAGCCTCCATATCAGACGTCCACCTACCTCCCGTTGACCTCTCAAACGAAGAGCGAACCACATTGAAGTCCCCACCAATACACCAAGGCAAACACCATCGACTTCTAATCTCCCCCAACTCCTCCCAAAGCAAGTGGTGCACACCATCCTCCGAAGGACCATAAACACCCGAAAAGACCCAATTAAAACCATCCTCAACCAAAGCAAGAACATAAGAAATAGAGAAGCGCCCCACCTGAGCCTCCACTTTAGACACCTCTCTGTTATCCCACATGATCAAGATGCCCCCGAGGAACCAATAGCATCCAAAGCAATCCACTCCACAAATCTCCCAACCCAAAGACTCCTCACAATCCTATCAGACATCGAAGAAAGTTTGGTCTATTGAAGACACACCACATGACCCCGACCTTTACGAATAACCGACTTCACCACTTTCCTCCTAACCGGATCATTGAGACCCTGGACATTCCATGAAAGAATTTGTAACTTCATAGGGAAACACTTTAGAAAGCAAACCCTCCCTTCCTTCCACCACTTCTCCCTCCTGATCTGGACCCCATATTTCTCCTTTCATACGTGATAAAATCATTGGGGCTTTGCATCACTGTCTCCCCTCTCTCCTCCTGCAACCCTATCTTACCACCTGCTTTTTCCTGAAAATGAGAATTGAGGACATCATTAAACAAACACAGTGCGTCATCCACTCTACCCTCAAAAGAAACCCCCAACAAAGGACCCACTTCCAATCCCTTCTCCCTCACCCACTCCTCCTCAAGATCATTCACTCTGACAACATTTGAGTCGCTAACCCAATTACCCCCAGGCGGAACAACAACCAAAGGAACAGCCAAATTCACTGGTTGTTCCAAGTCTTCCCATGGAATCATGCCCTAGTCACCAACCAGAGAAGAACCTGCAGCTCCCTCCCAATTATCAAGAACAGAAGAGGAATGCGAGCAAAACTGCGAAACAGGCTCCTCCTCCGTCAAAACTCCTCCTGAATCACCAAGAAAGCCTTTCGACGCCAAATGGTCCCGTATCTCCTTCAACAGAATAGCAGCCGTATCATCATCAAGCTTCACCTTCACATCCTGACCAACACAAACTGTAACTCCCCGCACAAGCCTTCACATAGCCGAGAGAAACCAAGTCTAAACCCAGAATCACCATCCTACCTGTCCACAAGAACGGAGTCCCTCTCACCCTCCGATTCTTTAGAGAACGAAACAGAAGCTGTCCCACCTTTCACCCATTCCAAAGACATCGTCGACTCCCCCAAAAAAGGAGAAGAAGTATAGAGAAACACGGTTTATTAGGAGAAGAACCAGAAGGAACTGAAAACATACCCTATTCAAAACCGGATTGCGAAGATGCCACCCATTTTTGCTTATCCTTTCGTGACCATTTCTTACGAAAAGCGGGAAGGATCACCTTTTTCTTCGGCAATCGACGTCTCAGGACCGGAACCTTCACTTGCCGATCAACGTTCATTCTCGTTTTCACCGAACCAGCAACACAAGGAGCTCTATCATCTCGCAAGGAGGACAAGGGCTCAAACCTGTTAGACACCGGCCCGGATCCACAACTCGGCCCACTTTTTAATCCCGCAGACCCGTCAACATTAACTTCTTTAGAAGATTGGACGCTCGGCCCACCAACCACAGCACAAGGAACTTGCACATCACATTCAGATCCCAAAGAAACAGAAATAGGCCTCTTAGAAACTGAATTAGGCCTTTCAGGCCCAACAAGCGGCCCAACAGACTTAGGCCCACCATTGGCATGTGAATAAGGATTAAACCTCTTCAATCTGGAAGAGCATTGTTTCTGTCAGAGATATTATCAAGTTGAATTGCAGGTACAGGATTGGTAATGGTCTGGAAGTGAAGATGTTTCTCGACCCTTGGTGTGATGGAAGCTTCTTGACTGAGGTTCCAGCATAGCATTTTGAGGAATCTTAGTAGGAATAGGTTGGTGAGCTTAAGTGAGTTCATTGAAGACCTGCAGTGGGTTACTTCTAAATTTGAAGATTGCAACCAAGAGGTGCTACTTTTGTTTCTCAATCACAAGATACATGGAGGATGTGATCAGCTGTTGTGGCAAACTGCTGGACTTACATTCAAGACTAATTGGGAAGCTTGTAGAGTGAAGAGGGAAGAAGTTTTCTGGACTAACTAATGATGGAATGGGGTAGGCCTAGTTGGTCGATTCACACAACTCTGGTATTGCAGGGTGCTGTTATTACAAGTTCATATTTACAGACACAGGTATTTCCATGGCATCAAGATGTGTATTGTGTCTGCAAAGTGAAGAGAATCTGGATCATCGTTTTTGCTGTTGTGATTACTCATAGCAGGTTTGGGCTGGGTTATCAGATATTTGCAAAGGAAATCTGCATAGATGTGCTTCAATCCAAGACTTGGCCCTAGACTTCTTCCAGCAGTTTACAACAAAAAGCTGCAGACATAAATTGTTCAAGCTCCTGTTTACTGCCACTTTGTACTCTCTTTGGGTGGAGAGGAATGAGAGATTCCACAATTCTAGGCATAGAGATCCTATTAACTTAGTGAAAGTTATTTTGTGGGAAGTCTTGGATGTGTTGGGGGTAGGCCTTCAAGACATTTTTTGATTTCCTGTTTCTAGGCTTATCTATTCCAAGGGTTTGTCCTTGGTTTTATTTTCCCTTCTTTTTGGGCTCTGATGTTTTTGCAGTGGGGGTATGCCCTCACTTTATCTACTGTACTATATTGTTTATATTAATAAAATTTCCTTCATTTAAGAGAGAGAAAAAAAAAAAGAAGATACTAAGCTCCTTACTTTTCTGGATCATGAAATAATCTTCAATTCTGTCGTACTTTTTAGTTTTCTGAGTGAAAAGAGTATAGCTTTGTCCACTTATAGTGTAAATGGGCAGAGCCCACTCAAGCATCTCATTTCATGAATTGCTTACAAAGAGAGAAAAAAAATGGCAAAAGTCGTTTTTTCTTTTTCCCTTTTTTTTTTACTCACTCTTTTTTACTCGCAAAGAACTCCAACTCATTTTGCTCCTATGGGGAGGACAACCCTCTACCCTCCCAAAGTGGAGGGTAGAGGAGATACAATGCGATACAATCTTGGTGGTAAAAGTTGTTTTTCGCTTTTGGTCAACAAGAACATGACTTTCCTAACTTTTTTAAAGAAGAATGACACGAGGTACTATAGAAATGGACATACTTGATGTAGAAATCAATAATTGTATCATTTACAAATGTGTCGGGTTGTAGTAGGTCAACATCTCTCTTACTGATGGAAACAGCATCTGCATCGCCCTTAGGATAGATAACCTCTTCAAAAGAATCATCAAAACTGCAACATTTCAAATTAATTCAGCGAACATCATAGAAGAAAAAAGCATGAATTAAAAGTATTGTAAAGAAACCAGAGGGGGGAAAACAATCATAATTTAATAAGAGACCTAATAACTAACATACTAAGCTAATAAATGAAGGAAAATGCAAATATTAAGAACAAAAACAGGAGCATTTACAAGTTAACTAGCAGTGTAGTCAATATATGTATATATTTATATATATAATACAAGCAATTATATATAAATATATATAGGAACGCTGACCAATAATTCAATATAAGCAACATCAGAGAACATGGGCTTACAATCGAACAGCCAAAATCTTAGAAAGAAGTATTTTTAAAACAAAAAAGATAATTCATGTGATTAGTATGATACCAACTCCATAACAATAGATAGCAAAACCCCAAGTAACAATATATCTAATAGTTCAATTTGCACACTTATTAGTCCATATGATGTCGAATAGCAACCAAGACACACACAAATGTGACACATAAGAACCAAGTCCAAGCCATGTTCAAATTTTTTTTTTCATCTCTAGGAAAGCCAAATGTACTACTCATTAGTGTCCAAGAGAAAAACGCCGTCATAACAGCTAGACCCTACTGCTACCAAGCAAGAACTGCAACGACGAGAAATGAAATTCCATGTGAGAAAAATCAGTTGTTGAAGGGAAATAAAAAATAGTTTTCTTTCTTACCCTTTAAGTAATGCTCACTTCTATAACCTTCCACTTATATGGGGTACTAGACCTGTAACCAAACCTAAGCTTTGACATTATTGTGCACAAAATAGCTTCTGTCATACTTTAACTCGTTTCTCCCTTAAGGTATCTCAAACTATATACTATCCAGACCAAGCTTTTTTCTATTTAACTAACATTTGATCAGAAAGAACAAAAAATATAACACTGCACATTGCAGGTGCACTGCAATAATTAAATATAAAATATTAAAATACATGCTTCTCCATTCCTAATCAAATTCAGAACACCATATTTCAGCCAGAATAGCATAAAGGAGATGAACATGAAACTCGAAACTGGCAGACAAATGCAAAAAATGACCAGAAACACAACACATTCAGAAAGTTTAAACAGAACACGAGCATAGCATTAGCACATAAGAATGGAGTAAACAACGGGACGATGTATGCTAAAAAAAAAAAAAAACAAAAAAAAGCAAAAAACCTAAGTCCATAAAAAGAAAAACATTCTCCCCAAGTAACAAAAAAAGTAAAAATCAGCAGAAATATTTGTTTCACTCACTTGGGAAAATAGCTTTTTGGATAGTGCACGCCGTTCTGTCCAGGTAAAGCATCTTCATCTTTTCCCGCATTAATACTGTATAAAACAAATATTGAAAATTAACAATTCAAATTATGGAAATTAGAAAAACAAACAGAAGAAATAAGTGAAAAACAATTAAACATTATATACTATAATTCAACTATTGTATGATACAGTTGCAGAGCAAGCATTAATATTGATGAAAAACGGATGGAAAGAAGATGTCCACTTCGTACTTCAATTACAGGACAATGCATAATATAACACATAATCACTTTGACGAAAAATATAAATAAAATAAACATGCCAAGGGAGAAAAAATCCAAGATACCAATTATCCAAGAATAAATATATATCATCTGTATGCAAAAATAAATCTAATAAAACAATAGGACCGGCAATGAACCGAACTCTGACCAATGCTATTGTGTTTTGAAGACTGACAACAAGAAATTCTATTAACATATTGTTGGGACTTGTGTCTCAAATTCCTAGTCTAAATAGGTTACTATTTTAGAGTTGTATTTTGTTAGGAAATTTCTTGTTAAAAAGTCTTGGCCTCCAAGGAATTGTAATCTTTGTCTAACAAGAAATTGAGTTTAGGATTCTATAAATACGTATTTCAGTTTATTGAGAGAGAGGATGTCTCATGAGAGAGTTGATGAGTAGAGGTAGTTTATGAGTTGATAGAATAGAAAAAAACTGGTGGCACTAGTAGCAAGGAGATAGGCTCGTGGAGTGGTAAATGGTGAAAAGACACGTACAGGGTATTGGTGCCCAGCGATTGCAATATCTCTTCTGAATCATAGTGCAATCTCTTCTCATCCGTGGATGTAAGCCGGCTTTGATTGATCCACGTTATATCATGTGTTTGTGTATGATTGCTTTGCTGGCTTTCATTGAATCTCAAAGTTCGCACACTTCCGCAGCCCAACAAATTAGTATCAGAGCTGAAAGTGAAGGAAATCCAGAAAACACAGTCTCAACAAAATCGCGATGGGTAACATGTCATGGAGCTCAAGTAATTAAGGTGAAGCCTTAGAAGTTTGACTGATCAAGTAGCATACTATGGGACAATTAGAGTTTTGCCAAAGGATTGTGACATCTTGGCTTGCAAGCCAAAGGGAAAGGAGGAACTTGCTCCTTGGGTAAAAGTCCCTAAATAAGGCTAAGGACGAATTGACTCCTAGGGCAAAAGTACCTAAATTAGACAGGGTCGTAGCGACTGTTTGTGAGTGAAAGTCCCAAACGAGTGATTTGGCTTGTGAGCAAGATGGAAGTTGCAATTAGTTGTCCTGATCAATGCCGTGGGAATCGACGATTAACTTAATGAGATTTGGGCCAAGGCAGAGATTGTTGGGAGAAGTGTCTCAAATTCCTAGTCTAATTAGGTTTTTATTCTAGAGTTTTTTTTTTGTTAAGAAAATTCTTGTTAGATAAACCCCAAGGGGTTGGCCAGTGGCAAGGCCACTTGGTCCTCGTGCCTCATGAAGCATTAGGTCTGAGTTCCCACTGGGTGCAAACAATTTCCTTGGGGCTACGCCTCAGTGGCCATACTTTGCAACCTACCCAGCCCAGGGTGGGGGGGCACACTTCCTGCGTCCTTGGGGATTAGTCAGGGCAAAGCCCCGAACACCCGATTAATCTAAGAAAAAAAAATTCTTGTTAGATAAGTCTTTGTCTCCAAGAAATTGAAATCCTAATACAACAAAGAATTGAGTTTAGGACTCTATAAATAGGTACCTAAGTTTTTGGGTTGAGACTTTTGAGATTGAAACAGACGTAGTCTCACAAGGCCAGAGCCAATAAAGGGGCGGCCGGGGGGGGGGGGGGGGGGGGGGGGGGGGACATGCCCCTCCGGCCAAGCCCTGCCTCGCCCTCTATAATTTATGTAGTAATTTTTTATATTTTTTCTATAAATATGAAAAAATTAAAATTTATGCCACCCCGCCCCGCCGCCCCCCCCCCCCCCCTCTCTATATTTTGTGGTTTCTAAAATTATCTCTTTATTTTCTCTTGTACTCTTCAAATTCTATTTTCTCTTGTACTCTTCAAATTCTTCAAATTTTCCTAAAAGAAAAAGTTAAATTTTCCTTCCTCAATTGAAACTCTTTAACTTTTTCTTTTTAAAGTTCTCTCATTTTTCTTTCCTTTTTCAATTTCTACTTCTTAAAATTCATCTTTTTAACATGCATATTTGAATTTTTTTCTTTCTTCTTCTTCTTTTGTATTTTATATTTGTAATATTTATATATATATATATATATATATATATATATATATATTTATTTTGCACAGTGGCCCCCCTTACTTGAAATTCTGGCTTCGTCCTTATAGTCTCATGAGGGAGTTGATGGATAGAGGGAGTTTAGGGTTGGTAGAGTAGGAAAAGCACCGGTGGCACTCCACAAAATCATAGTAGAATCTCTTCTCATCCGTGGATGTAAAAAGTTTTGGCTGAACCACGTTATATCTTGTGTTTGTGTATTGCTTTGTTGGCTTTCATTGGATCCCGATGTTCACGCACTTCTGGTGCCCCAACACATATTACTACCTAACAGCATTTCGGAATTTTCAGTCTAGCGCCGCTTAATCAACATACAGAAGCCCAAAGAAAGTAGTGGCAAGTACAACTACACATCATCAAATAGCCTTGATTCCTTGTAAACAACCTGAAACATTTAGTAACTGCAAGAAGCAATTGGAATGAGGCAAGAAACCACTGATAGATTGCAGATATATTCTAAGATATTTCACAATCTATCTCTTACTCTTTGATTTCACACTTCAATTAATTCATGGAAAAGGAGGCAAAAACAGGACAATGGTAGTAAATGGCTTCCTTATTTGTAGAATTTTACTTCCGTTAAATTTATCTGAGATTTCAATAGGAAGGGAAAAATGTGAAGAATGTCATAAAAAGGTACAAGCAGTAACTAATTAAAACTTTAATTAGCACTAGATAATTATCACCAGTAGAAACATTTGCAGCTCCATTCTTCACAACTTGTGTCAAGATGGAAGAAAATGTCGTTACATTAGGAAAGAGAGACACGGACAAAGAGCACTATGTCGAGCCTTCCTGCTTATTTCCTTCCTTTGTTCTAGATTCCTTCTCCTGTGGCTGAGAGGAATGAGAGGTTACAGCGAAATTTCCTTTGGAATGGTACAGGGGAGGAGTTCAAGTTTCATCTGGTTCATTGGGAGCAAGTCTATAGTCCAACTCGGATGGGAGATTTGGGCATTAGAAGACTGGTGCCATTCAATAAGGCCCGTTTGGGGAAGTGTTTAAGGAGATTTGGGGTAGAAAGGCATAAACTCTGGAGGAGAGTGATTGCGAGTAGATTTGGGGAGGCCAGAGGAGGATGGTGTTTTGTTGAAGTGAGAATCCCAGGTGGAAGAGGGATGCATTCCCCCTTTGAATGCTTCTTAATACGATCTTACTTTGAGAGAGAGAGACTGGGACAGATAGGAGGAAGAGGGGTTTCTGTTAATTCTCGAGTGAAGATCCTCCAGTGATGCTTTTCCAAACTTGTCATTCTTAAATAACCTTTGAAATTCTAAGTGATGGAAGACGAAGAGGTCAAGGCCCATATTTAAAATGAAATCGAGAACTAAGAGAAAATTGCTTCCTCAAATATTGGCGTGTCAACCACTTAAGCAAACCAAAGATTTAAAAAACATGTAGAAGATGTAGCACGAGATAGGAAAACAAAGGGAATAGATAGGGGGAATCTTGTCATTCGACTGTTTTAAAATCACTAAAAAAAATTGACTCAATCATGCTCTTCGGTTATAAAATTCCGAAGGGACTCAAAAGCTTAGATTCTTTATTATTTTGTATCTAAGTTTAACTAGTTTTTGGTTCGTTGGGAGCAAGTGTGCTGTCCAATTCGGAGTGGAGGCTTAGGGATTAGAAGGTTGTTGCCTTTCAACAAGGCTCTCCTTGGGAAATGGTTTTGGAGGTTTGGGGTTGAGAGGCATTGGCTTTGGAGGAGAGTTATCGCGAGCAAATTTGGGGAGAGCAGTGGAGGGTGGAGCTCTCTTGAGGTGCGTGGTCCTGGGGGGTGGGGGTTTGGACTTCCATTTGAAAGGGATGGGTTGATTTTTGCAAACATGTTCGTTTTCGAATCAGGGATGGTAGGAGGATCAGATTTTGCGAGGACCTTTGGTGTGGGGAGCTTCTCCTGGCTCTTTCTTTCCCACTGCTCTACAGGATTGCTTCTGATAAGCAGGCATTGGTGGTTGACTGTTATCATCTTGATAACGGAGGACTGACTTGGGATTTTTAGTTAAAGAGGCACTTTCAGAATTGGGAGATTGAGGAGGTCACTCGTTTTTTGGAGTTACTGTATCGCCAGGTGATCTCACATGGGGATTCCGATTGTTGGCTTTGGAATCCTAACTCTCAGGGTCGGTTCGAGGTGAGGTCCTTTTTCAGGTGTCTTACGGTTGGTGATGGAGGTCCTTTCCCTTGGAGTCTATTTGGCGCTCCAAGACTCCCCTTAAGGTGGCCTTCTTTGCTTGGACTTCTGTCTTGGGTAGGACTTTAACCCAGGATAATTTAAGGAGGAAGAATAAGGTGGTGGTCAATCGTTGTTACTTGTGCCTACGCGATGAGGAGACAGTTGATCACCTTCTGTTACATTGCAGCATGGCTAGAAACTGTTGGGATTTGATGCTTGGGTTATTTGGGGTCCCTTGGGTTATGCCCTGTTCCTCTAGAGGGTTGATTGAGACTTGGAGAGGTTTCTTAGTTGGGGCCCTCATTCAGGATGCTTGGAGGGCTACGTCTCTCTGCATTTGGTAGTGTATTTGGCTCGAGAGAAATCAGAGATATTTCGATGGAAAAGAGAAGCCTATTTCTATGCTTAAGTTCTCCATTATTTATACTCTTTTTTGTTAGGTCTCAGTGAGAGATTATAGATCTATAGAGGAGATTATTTTCTTTTTGGCCTCTTTGAAGGCCTTAAGGCGTTTTTTGGCCTTTTTGTTTCTTTGGGATTCGCTCCCCTTTTGAGCGCTTTTTATAAATCTTACTTATCAAAAATAAT